AACTCACCATTCATTCCACCAACCAGAAGACGAGTGGTATAACTTGTACATATGAACCCCTAGCATTCACAAATAATAAAAACCCTCAAGCTTTACAACTCAACTAGGGGAGCATTTATGCCTAACAAGAGTTATAGTCACCAACAAAGTCTTATTGCAAGCCAACAACGGCTTCAGTGTATGGTATACGAAGATCAAGCTCTTCAACCCTTTTGCATTTGCTTCAAACATTTCTTCTCTGTAACAATGCAAACACTACAACTCGTATAAAACTTCACACACTTTTGATCAAGACTGTTCGAAGCAAATTCAATTTATATGGTTCATCCAAACCTTCGACTACTACAAGGTGTGGCTTGCATCACAATCTCTTACTCAACAGTGAGGAAGCAAAATTTGTATATGTTGTCTCTACCACATTTTCAAATTTCTAGTTTTTCCAAAAAAAAAAAAAGGAAATTGGGAAATTCAACAAAGATTCATCAATGGAGGACAACTACAAATTCTCAAAAGCTTAACACACTTTTGATCAAGATAGTGTGAAGCAAAACCAATTTATGGTGCCAACAAGAGCTTCATCAAATGAGTTCAACCACAATTCTCAAAAGCTTCACACACTTTTGATCTAGACAGTGTGAAGAAAAAACCAATTTATGGTGCCAACAAGAGTTTCATCAATGGAGGGCAACTACAATTCTTAAAAGCTTCACACATTCTTGATCAAGACAGTATGAAGCAAAACCAATTTATGGTGCCAACAGAAGCTTCAACACCAAAGCTTCACCTACAAAGTTTCAACACAAAAGCTTCACCTATAAAGCTTTACCTACAAAACTTCAACACCAAAGCTTCACCTACAAAGCTTTAACTCCAAAGCTTCACATACAAAAGCTTTAACTCCAAAGCTTCACCTACAAAACTTCAACACAAAAGCTTCAACAAATGGAGGGCAACTATAATTCTCAAAAGCTTCACACACTCTTGATCAAGATAGTGTGAAGCAAAATCAATTCATGGTACCTAACAAAGCTTCAACCTCAAAGCTTCACCTACAAAGGCTTCAACAAATGTTAGACAACTCCCTCGATCGGAGACTTGAGGGACTCCTACCATATGCTACTACACCTCGGTACTTGGAAGTTTCACAACTACTCAGTGACTTGAATTTTTCAAGTCTCCAATCAAGAAGTTTTCCTTACTCAGGAAATTAAGGGAGCATCACCTCAACCTACATGCTTCACTCACAAAGTTTCAACAAAAGAAAAAATTCAAAGAACTTAGTGAAGGAGGCCTTGGTGTATTTAACACAATACGTTGAAATGAAGCAAATCTTATTTATTGATATCTCCGATAAGTTACAAATATTTACATATACATGAATCAAAATAAACTAACAAGATGGAGTCTTCACAAACGTTGCTCAGAAGAAGTCTCAGTAGTCGGCAAAGCCCTAGAAAAAGGAGGCACCAGAGGGTGATCATTCGGAGCCTCAGTATTGGGCAGAACCCAGAAGGATGAAACACCGAAGGTTGATCATTTGGAGCTTTATTACGCGGTACAGCCCCAGAAGACGAAGGCAATAAATGCCTTTGGAACAAACGCACAAACCTTTGATGATCAAGTAAAATCTGACCATCAAATTCCAGCAGCTGGTCAAACTTCCTCTTCATGTTTGTAGCATAGTTATGTGTGAGTCTGTGCAACTATTTATTCTTATGCTTGAGCCCTCTGATCTCCTATTTGAGACTGATCACTTCAGCCGCCAATGACTCAACTTGGCGGGTTTGAGCAAATAGGCGTTAGGCCATATTAGACACAGAACCTGCACACTGGACACTGAGAGCCAGAGAATCCTTAATAACCAACTCATCAGACCGTTTGGAAAGTAGTCTGTTATCTTTAGGAGTGAGAAAGTTCCTAGCCACCACCACAACTGTCATATCATTCTTCATCACAGAGTCCCTAATAGTAAGATGACCAGTAGGGGATAGGAAGGATGGGCGCCATATGTTCTCTTGAGGAGGCATGGCTGCCTATTCACCAAAGTTCAAGTTAAAACGATGGTCGGATGGGCCATACATTTTCAGAAATGATGAAGGAGAAATGAGGTTCAATAAATCTCTGAAGTATAAAAATAAGGGAAAAATTCCTACAAGCAATAACTTTCTGAACGTACTTCCTGCACACAATTGGTGCCCCTATAAAAGAAAGGGCAATAGGGCCGTTGGTTTAAAAATCAAAGAGGCACCACTCTCCGGACTTCGAGAAATGGATTTTCCTGAGTAAAATCTGCTGACAATCTCCACACGCAACATCAGCTCCTCAGGTACCACAAATAACTTTGCCAAAGATCTTTGAAAAGTTTAGACACATAAATTTTGAAGGTCAAGATACCCTACTATTACCCACAAGAGTAAAGGAACAACACCACTGCTTGATAATTGGAAAGTCCCTATGTGTGTCAACCTCCGTGCTTCTTGGCAAGGCAAACTGGCAAAAATGCCCAACCTTTACTCACATTCGAGAAAACACTCCCAACAAGATTGCTTGCTTAAAAATCAAAGAGGCATCGCTCTCTGAATCTCGAGAGCCAGACTCCTAACATGATTACTTGCTAAAAAATCGAAGAGGCACCGCTATCCGAATCTCGAGAGCCAGACTGCTAACATGATTGCTTTCTCAAAAATCGAGGAGGCACCGCTTTTCAAATCTTGAAAGCTAGACTCCCAGCATGATTGTTTTGTCAAAAATCGAAGAGGCACCGCTCTCCAAATCTCGAAAGCCAGATTCCCAACATGATTGTTTTCTCAAAAATCGAAGAGGCACCACTATCTGAATCTCGAAAGCTAGTCTCCCAACATGATTGCTTTCTCAAAAATCAAAGAGGCACCGTTCTTCGAATCTCGAGAGCCAGATCCCTGACAAGATTGCTTGTTCGAAAACCGAAGAGGCACCACTCTCCGAACTTCGAGAGCTAGATTTCCTTGGATAAAGCTTGCCTGCAATCTTTACACACAACATCAGCTTTCCAGATACCACAGACAACTTTTTCAAAGTGCTTTGACAAAGTTAAAATACGTGAATCCTACAGCTTCCACTACATTGCTATGACCAAGAAGGGTAAAGGAATAACGTTACTATTCGTTGTTGGGACAATTTTTATATATGTTGACCTTCATCCTCCATAGCCAGACAGACCTGCAAATGGAAAAAAAATGCTTAACTTTTTTTCACATCCAAGAGGGCACTCTTAGCAGAGTCTTTCGAAATACTCAGCTTCTTTTCCCCCCGATAATACCTCTGCAAACAAGCCACACCAGAGCAAGAGTGTCTCATATCATCAGGGTTAAAAGCAAGAGTATCCCATATCATGCTTTTTCCCTATTTTTTCCTTTGCCTTTGTTCTTACCTGCAAGACAAGGAGAAAGAGAGCAATCAGTCAGCATTGGGAATCAAGCTTCCAGTCAGGAACTGACTGCTTGGAACTCCTTGCCTGATTACTTGGCATTGCTCTCGAGTACTCATATTCAACATCTTATGCTTCCAGAAAAGATACCACATCTGCCTGAGGAACATATAGGGCAAGTGAGAAGGATACAAGGAAGCATGTGGAGACAAGCGCAACAGAACACGTGCCGATTCATCTATTACTTTGTCAACATTAAAAGTATCCCATATCATCAAGGTCGAACGCACTCTTGATTTGATGGACTTGTTTTGATTTTCAAATTCTTGAGTCGGCATTATACTCTTGAGGAAACTAGAAAAACCTCCAGCCCAGTTCAAGAATAAGCTTATGGAAAGTTACTTCTTCAAAAGAAAAAGTATCTCATATCATCTCTTCTCCATGTCCTTTTCTTTGTCCTTGTTGATGTCTACAGAATAAGGAGAAGGAGAACAATCAGCTGAAACACGAGATCAAACTTTCGATCTAAGACTGATTGCTTACTTTGTCTGTCACCTCTTTCGGCATATCTCCTCGCTCAAAGACTTGGGGGACTCCTACTATAGAGTTTGTATCGCGTTTGACCAAGCCCGAAACTACAAGTAAGCTTCAAGTGAAATTGATACATTACCTTGTGCATCTCCATCGGTTAAAGATACCAGCCCTGGATGGAGGAAAAATACTTCCAGAAAAGATGCCACATCTACTTATGAGACGGATAAGGCAAGTGAAAACGATACCACACTTTAGTACTTAGAAGTTTCGTGATTACTCAGCGGCTTGGATCTTGCAAGTCCCTAACCTAGTAGCTTCCCTCACTCGGAAACTTAGGGGAGCACTGTTTGTACCATACTTGACCAATCCCGAAACTACCAAGCACCGGTCAATGTTATACCGTCAAGGACCCATAAGAGTTTCCCTTCAACCAGGAGGCCAATCACAGCGCAACACGTGTCAACACCAAAAGGCCAATCACAGCATGACATGTGTCAAGGCCAGAACAAAGCTAGAAACTCTCTTCTATAAAAGGAGATCATTCTCCCACAATAATCCTTAATGTCATTTGTACTAAATCATTCACTATTACTCACTACAGGAGAGCTTGAACCTATGTACTTGTGTAAACCCTTCACAATTAATGAGAACTCCTCTACTCTGTGGACGTAGCCAATCTGGGTGAACCACGTACATCTTGTGTTTGCTTCCTTGTCTCTATCCATTTACATACTTATCCACACTAGTGACCGGATCAATCTAGTGAAGGTCACAAACTTGACACTTTCTGTTGTACCAAAGTCCTCACTGATTTTGTATATCAATAAACTTTATATGTTTACCGTGGATAAAAATCATCATCATTTAAACATTAAAAGTTCGAAGATGATAAACGACCAACATAACATATTAAATTGTATCAGTATCAACACAAAAGTGGTTTAAATGACAAAAGAAAGAAAGAATTAAAGACAAAATATCCCTCTACGCATACATCTTTCATAAAATTCCAATAGAGATGTAGAGCCAATATAAAACATCCAAGATAAACAAACCAAAATACCAAAACAGTGTCAGCCATGATATATATAGAATAGAAGTATTATACAAACAAACCAACAAGCAAGAAGGGCACGGAAGTGTTCATAATATTATTACTTTCAGGCCATAGATTCTTGTCTTAGTGTTATTATTAAATAAAACATCCCAGATATATTTATGCATATGTTTTTAGAGGTAATCCAAGTGCCTAAAGATCATCACTAAAAAAACACTTTAGAACATAAGCAGTTAAGTCTCTGAGGAATATATATAAAATTATAAGTGACCTTAATATAAAACTTAGTGGCGATTAATCATCTCTCGGATCACGATCAAGCAAGGCGGAGATCATGTAGATGAGTGATGGAGGAGCCGAGCGAACTTCCTCTGTGGTGGTGGAGGTTAGGGTGGTGGAGCTGGTCGGAGTTGCGGTGGAGCTGGAAAGTGTACAAGTTATTTGCCCCATTTGCCAATACAAGTGCAGATTCATAGTCTCCCTCATTGTCCACATAACAATATTGTGGATTCTCACTGGCAGCTTCCTGGTCAAACTCCAAATTTAACAAACATGTTATCAGATATCATTAAAAAAAGATAATAATTAAAGGAATTCATTAGAAATTGAATTGATTTTAGAATGCTTGATTATATATATATATATATATATATATATATATATATATATATGCTTACATAGCCATGCAGCATGTTTCCTCTTCTTTCCTCCAAGTTCTTAACCTGCAGTGGTGGAATTAAATTAAATTTCAAGAATAGTACTAGAAGATTACAAATATTAATTTATGATCCAGTACAAATTTCTAATGATATAATTACCTTCTTCTTGGTGGTCTCCGTTTGAGTTTTGATCACATGGTACTGTAAAAATGCAACAAATGTCATTGCCAAATCCATCATCAGTACCAATAACCGCAGACAAACTTCAAGAAGCTCAAATCAAGTTCTTGTGTTGCATTTCTAAAAGGATAGGGAGAAAGCCTTCGGAATGTGAGAATTGAGATGCAGTATGAAGGTATGATGTTTGGTTCAATTTGATTTCTTATATGCAGAGATTATAAGTCTAGGGTTTTAAACTTGGGTTTGTTTTCTAATATAAATAAGTGGCAGGAGGCCAAAGCAACTTAATTAGTTAGCAATGATCAAAAGGAATCGAGTACGGCCCATTTTATCATCATGGATAATCAGAGGTAAAAATTCAAAAGGTTCCTCCAAATTTTATGAGAGATAATTTCAAGTGCCGGATGTTTAAGCAATAATCCATATGTTATAATATAAGTGAAAAAAATTATATATTTTTTTGTGTTTCTCCACTTGCATTATAATACGCAAAGTACCCATTTAATATTGGGTACTTCGAAAATTTTCTCAAATTCTACGAGTCTTTTGTCTTTCTAGACCCAATTTGACTAGATCATCGATCGTAACATTTTTCTCACGATTATTCAGTAAGATCCTGCCACAACTAGAAATTAAATTTTTTCTCATTTTTAATCGAATCTCAAATTTCAAGGTGTTTTCATATTGATGACAGATTATCAAGGCTTGTCTGCGAGGGATTACAAAATTCTACATGTCTAAAAAATTGTTTATTATATGAAATTCCTCGAAGTAAATGTTTATCATGAAGATCAAAAGTAAAATAAATAAATGTTTGTCATGAAAAATTGTTATCCTATATTTTATGAAATTCTACAAAATTTGTTTATTATTAAGAAATTCATCAAGACTTAATATGGACTAAATTTCTGAAACCCTGAGATGAGATGATTTTTACAGATTTATATCCAGGCAACACCTTTTGGAATTTATAATTATTTTTTGATACCAAAAACTAAAACTAAATAGAAACGAAAAATCCGACCTTTCTTTCACGTATGGCATCTAAGGAAGATTGCATCTTATCCTCAAGAGAACGGAGATCGTCATAGCTCAGACCATTTAGATCATGGCCCAACCTCTGCCTGTTAAGTTTACATATAATTTATACATGTATTGCTCTAATCCTGTAATAATCATATATATAACATATATTCCTCTCAGAAACAAATTGAATTTTTTTTTGGTTTTCCCAATTAATTAGCTTGAATAATAGATGTTACCTGATCTCTCTCCTCAGCTTATTGTTGATCTCTTTCAACTTCCACAAGGTGTCTTTCATAGACTGCAACCACCAAAGAACCAGTTAATTAACCAGAAACAAAAACACTAAAAAACTTCCAAGAAAAAAAAATAAACAAATAAAATTAGTGGAGAGTATATCCTTCATTATAATTAACCTCGTAGTGTGTCCTCCATAGATCGATCCCCATAGTTTTCTGATAGTCATCATACATACTCTTGGTCCTATTACATCAAATTTTAAGTAGACATTGCAAAAAAAAAAAGGAGGAAATTAATTACAAAAAAATAGAGAAATTAATGAAATAATAATAGGGTTTGATGAGAGAAGGACGTACGTAGTGGAAGGGCTGATATACTCGTGCATTTTACTAGTGTTGGAGAGCATGATGAGGGAGACCTTGGCATCACAGAGAACGGTGAGCTCCTGAGCCTTCTTGAAGATCCCATTTCTTCTCTTGGAGTAGGTCACCTGCCTGTTGGTCTGGTTTTCGATCAGCTTGATCTCAATCTTTCCACGACCCATAATCTCTCTCTCAATTTTCTTACTTTTTTCTAGTAATTTTCAGATCTTGTTTTAGTTGATATATCAAAGAAATGGGAAGAGGGTTGGTTGTATATATAATGGAAGTCATGTGATGGATGAAGAAATGGAGAGGAAAGCAGAAAGGTTTCTATATCGGGAAAGTGAGATGAAAAGTTAAGTTGTAGTCTAACCAGGAATGTCTGCTTCTTAAACTGCTCACTTCTAAGCTTTATATATATATATGATATATCTAGCTTAGTCTTGTAGGCTTGTAGGCTTGTAGCTAGCTAGCTAGGGCCTAGAGCTTGTTAGTTGTTAGGTTAAATGTTAGTTCTTGTTAGCATACAGACTATGATCTTGTATGAGTGTTTCAATCAATTTATATATATTGAAGAAAGGAAGAGAGTAAGAAATCTAGAGAGAGAGTGAGAGAATTCTGCTTGGGAAGAAGAAACAAACTCTGCACACTGTTTCATTCATTCACACACACTTAGCACATGTAGCAAGAGGAAATATTAATTAATCTAAGATTACATCTTAGCTGCACACTTGGACTATGATCCAAGGGCTGATATTTAAAACTGACTTCTTATTATATTTCAGCAAATACACTTATAAACTAACACTCCCTTCTAAGTGATGTGCTGAAATCACTCCCAAAGCTGTCCTCAGTACTTCAAATCGATCCCTTGCCAAAGCTTTAGTGAATATATCTGCAACCTGCTCCTCAGTCTTGCAGTATACCAGATCAATCTCACCATCTTGAAGTGCATCTCGGATGAAATGAAATTTCCGATTAATGTGCCTGGTTTTGTGATGATGGACTGGATTCTTTGATATGGCAATTGCTGAAGTATTATCACACAGCAACTTAGTTGGTTCTGCTTGTTCTTCCCCAAAATCAGAGAGTACAAATCTTAGCCAAATGGCCTGTGCAGTAGCTTCTGCTGCACTGATGTATTCTGCCTCTGCAGTTGAAAGAGCAACACTGCTTTGTTTGATTGAGGCCCAAGAAAACACACCAGAACCAAGATTGAATGCATAGCCAGATGTACTCCTCATATCATCTTCACTTCCACTCCAATCACTATCACAATAACCAACCAACACTGCTCATTTTCCCTTTTCATAGACCACTCCATAGTTCACAGTGCCTTGTATGTATCTCAGAACTCTCTTAGCTGTCCCCATATGCTTCTTGGTAGGATTGTGCATAAACCTAGCCAATAAGCTTGCTGCAAACATAATATCTGGCCTTGTTGCTGTCAAATATAGCAAACTTCCCACCATTTGTCTATATAAAGTCTCATCTGCCAGATCACTTCCATCTATTTTTTGTAAGTTTTTCATTCATAGCTAATGGTGTTGCAACCGGCTTACAATCCCTAAGTCCAAATTTCTCAAGCAAAGTCTTTGCATATTTCTTTTGATGCAAGAAGATGTAATTATCTGTTTGCAATACCCCAAGACCAAGGAAATGATGAAGTAATCCTAGATCAGTCATCTCATATTGTCTCATCATCTCACCTTTAAACTCAGCTATCATCTCTTTTGAACTCCCTGTGTAAATAATATCATCTACATACAGTGACACAATAAGAATGCCACTGTAAGATGTCTTGATATAAAGAGTAGCTTCACTCGGACTTCTGTGGAATCCAGCCTTTGCAAAATAGGAATTTATTTCTTCATACCAAGCTCTTGGAGCTTGTTTCAAAACCATATAAAGCTTTCCTGAGCCTGTACACTTTGTCTTCCTTGCCCTGTATAACAAAACCAGATGGTTGATCCACATACACCTCTTCATTCAACACTCCATTTAGAAATGCAGACTTTACATCTAACTGAAATAATTTCCATCCTTTCTGTGCAGCAAGGGCCACCAAGGTTCTCACAGTATCAAGTCTTGCCACAGGTGCAAAAGTTTCATTGAAATCGATTCCAGGCTTCTGAGAGTACCCCTTTGCAACCAACCGTGCTTTGTTTTTCTGCACTGAACCATCCAGATTTAGTTTTGTTTTATAAACCCATTTGACTCCAATGATTGGTTTATCAAATGGTCTATCAACAAGATCCCAAGTATGATTCTTCTCAATCATAGAGATTTCATCTTCCATAGCCTTCTGCCATGATTCATCCTTGGCAGCCTCTTCAAAACATTCGGGTTCTATTATGCACAGATTACACTTTTCATATATTTCTGCAATGTTTCTATACTTGAGAGGAGTGTGATCAAAATCCTGTGGACCTGTCACTCTTTCTTGATCAGATAGCTCAGTAACTAAATCTGACCCAACATTCTCTTCACTGACTTCACATTGTGTTTCAGAATCACAAGCACTTCCTTCACAGTTTTGTTCTCCTGCAGACATTTCAAAGATCTGGATACTCTCCCTTCTTTCCTTCTGTGCATTCCAATCCCAACATGCTTCTTCATTAAACACAACATCTCTGGAAATAGTCACCTTTCCAGATTCAATGTTATACAGTCTATATCCCTTTTCACAACTACCATATCCCAAGAAAAACACACCTCTTGCTTGCCAAATCGAGTTTTTGTCTCTGTTGACTTGGTACATGAGCATAACACAAAGAACCAAACACTTTTAGATGCTTAATTCCTGGTTTTCTCCCACTGTAAGCTTCAAAAGGTGTCTTCTTATGTAAGGCTTTGGTTGGGCATCGATTCAGAATGTACACAGAGGTATTGACTGCCTCAGCCCAGAATTCAAGTGGAACCTTCTTCTCCAACATAAGACACTTAGCCATTTCCACGATGGTTCTGTTTCTTTCGCTCTGCCACACCGTTTTGCTGTGGTGTGTATGGAGTGGTAAGTTGTCTTTCCATGCCTACATCTTCAACAAACTTGTTAAACTCCATTGAAGTGTATTCACCTCCTCGATCACTCCTAAGCTTTTTCAGATTATAACCACTCTGTAATTCCACAGTGACTTTGAACTTTTTAAACACACTGAGAACTTCAGATTTATGCCTTAAAAAATACACCCAACACATTCGGGTACAATCATCTATGAAAGTAAGAAAATATCTATTTCCAGCTTTTGTAGTTTTCTGCATTGGACCACAAATGTCACTATGCACAAGCTCTAGAGGAATTGCAGCTCTAGTATTAGCTTCCTTTGGAAATGCTTCTCTACATTGTTTGCCGAGAACACAACCTTCACATACTCCTTTAGCTACTTTGATTTCTGGTAATCCTACTACCATTTCTTGTTCCTGCATCAATTTCAAACTGCTCAGGTTTAGGTGTCCCAACCTTTTATGCCACATAGTAGTAGAAGCACATACATTTGCCTTGAAAGCAATATGTATTCCAGTCTGTAATTTCATTGGAAAACTTCGATTTCCCTTCATTGGAACTTTAGCAACCATGTTGGAATATGAACTGTCATCATAGATTTCCACCCTTGTGACCTCCAAACACTAAATAATAACCGTGCTCCATCATTTGACCCCACACTGAGCAAATTTTCCTTCAGTCCAGGCACAAGCATAACCTCCTTGATATATCTCTTGCCTAGTTTAGTTTCAACTACAAGACTCCCTTTACCAGTTATATCAACAAGCTGTCCAGTACCCATTTCAACTTTTGCAGTTACATTCCTATCAATATCCACAAGTAAATCCTCCCTTCCAGTCATATGATTGCTACACCCACTATCTACATACCATACATCATCACAGTCCTTTACACTAGTAAAAGTTTGATTACTAGCATAAAACATGGTGGGTGTAGATTCTACCTTGTTTGCATAATTGAGCTGTTGCACTGGTTTCTTGCTATTACAATCCCTTGCAATATGACCAAACTTATCACAGTTATAACATTTTGGTTTACCCTTGAATCGGCATTCACCAAAATGTAGCTTATCACAATGTTTACAAGGATTTCTAGCACCATAAGTGGGTTTGTTATCCCACCTCTTCCCTTTTTCTTTCCAATTCTTATGATACCTTGCACTTTGATTTCCTGTGAATTTAGCTGGTTTGGGATTTACATTGAGACTAGCAAATGCTTTCTCAGTTTTGTGCTCAGAATGTCTATCTAGACGTAGCTCAAAACTCTTCAAGGAAGCAACCACTTCTTGTACCTCAATCACATCCAAATCTTTCGAATGCTCAATAACAGAACAGATAGAGTCATAAGCTGATGGCAAACTGATTAATAATTTCTGAACAACTCTCTCTCTCGAGATAATTCCTCTCCATAGCTCCGCATTTGATTTATCAGATCAAATAGTTTTTGTAAGATAAACAGAAAGTGATTCATCATCTCGCATTCGGGTATATTCAAATTCCCTACGAAGACCTTGCAATTTAACACTTCTAACCTGTTTATCACCGTGGTATTCTTGCTTGCTGCAGAATGTCTCATGCGCCTTTTGAAGTTTCTTCATGAGAGATTCTGGGAAATATCTCATCTGAAACAGCGCCCTGAATCAGACCCAGAGCTTTAGCATCCTTCATGAGCACCTCAACAAGCGTCATCCTCCCAGCACCACTAGACTCTTCTTTGTCTTTCTTCTTCGCCTCAGATTCATCAATCTTCTTCAGATCTGATTCATCGAAACCCTTTTCAACCAGATTCCACAATCCGTAGGACTTGAAAATGGTCTTCATCTTAATACTCCAGAACTCATAATTTTCACCATTGAAAATTGGTGCTCTCACCTCACCACTACCCGATCCTGCCATGTTAGACTCAGATCGCAATCAACTCGATCGCAGCTTTGAGTTGCTGGGTAGCTCTCTTCACAGATCCAAACGCCCAGTATCAATTGATCGAACACAGCTCTGAGGCCATGTTAGCATACAGACTATGATCTTGTATGAGTGTTTCAATCAATTTATATATATATTGAAGAAAGGAAGAGAGTAAGAAATCTAGAGAGAGAGTGAGAGAATTCTGCTTGGGAAGAAGAAACAAACTCTGCACACTGTTTCATTCATTCACACACACTTAGCACATGTAGCAAGAGGAAATATTAATTAATCTAAGATTACATCTTAGCTGC